AAAAAAAAATCAAAGAAACACAGCAAATAATGGAATGACTAAGTATTTACCTGACCACCTATAATTAAACCAAAGTTCACATTCTGGATATTTTTGCCTTTATAAATTAAAGAACAAGGTGTAGAATTGATTTAGAGCTTCTACCCTCTACCCAGTTCCAAGTCATCCTGTGCCGGGGGTGGGGTGAGGGTGGTAATCAACATCCTGATGTTAATATTTCTCCATGGCCCTTGCCTTTTCATTGTTTTTAGAGTAAATAACTCTGTAAGTTATCTTGTAATTGCATTTATTAAGAGCTTGTCTTATTGATGTTGTCATAAATAAGTAATTTGATTTGATTAAGCTTCGGTAGACAAATGTTTGCTCTGGATGCCTAATGGAGTAGTAACACTTGTAGGATGCATGCTGTCCATCCGGTGGTAAAAGGATGGTACCCATAGCAAAGCTTGTATCTGATGGACAGGGCTGATCCTGCAGAAAGTCACATCGTGGACAGGACCCCAGTCTCCGAGAGGGAGACACAGATGAAGAGCAGCAGACATTGGCTCACCTCCAGGATGCTCCAGGCCACAGGCTGTTATCATGTCCTCAGAAACCGTATGAAGGACATACATGGAAGCCCAGGAAAGATGACATACCTGTCCAGGTTACACAGCTAGTGATTGGCAGAGCCACAGTCCAGACCCTGATCTTTCTGACTTCAAAGCTCTTAGTCTCCGAACAGCACAGACACATAGCACTTGCAAGAAGTATATATAAAGGTCACATATCCAAGAGTATATGAGCAGCACAAACTATGCTTGATGGGTTAAAAAAGAGAGAGGACACAATGTTGGGTGGGGAGAGGAAGAAAGGGGGAAGGGGAGGGGGGACAGGCCTGGGAGGAGGTTAGGGAGGGGTAAATATGATCAAAATACATTGTATGAGATTCTCAAAACACAAATAAAAAGTGAATATACAGATTTCTTGTGAAGCAAAATATAAACTTCGATGAACTGTAAGGATTAACGAAGAATGTTCAGATAAATGGAATTTGTTTCTTGGATTGTCTTACGACTTTAATTCTAGAAATTTCTGCATTCTGGGGGCCCTCTGATCCCTAGAGAACCAAAAGAAGCTTGCTTGGGAATGGCGGTCTAGCAGAGGAGGGTTCTGAAGGAAAAATGTGGAACTTAAAAAAAAACAAAAAAACCTGGCAGCCATGGCACAAAAAAAATGTTTACAACTAGGTCAGCTGGGCTCCAACTGATCAGACCAGACACTGAAACAAGCACCCAACTTAGTCGTGACTGTGCCCACCCTTTTCTTGATGAAAGATGCATCCTAGAAAGAAAAGTACCCAGAGGAAGGCACTTAATAAAGCATCCACTGATTTTAAGGTACCCCAAACCTACTCTTTCATGCTCCTGCACCTATTAGTCTCCCAAATTAGAAGCCTTGGTGTTATATTCCACTTACTTTCTGTGTTGGGCTGGAATCCCATCTTGATTTTCACTGCTTGTCTTATTGGTCCCCTGATCTTAGTTTGAGGGAGGGAGAAGTAGGTATGTTTGCCATCAAAAGCCCAAAAGGCACGAGCCCATTGGGAAGGTAGCTCTCCAGATTGAAGCACATGCATAATTAATTTGGGACTGGTTTGGACAAAGAAAGCAGGAAGAGCGCAGTAGACTGGTGGGGGCTAGAAAGGGGCCACAGAAGGCCTGCTTGATAGCTAATATTTTATGCTAAGGGCAATTGGGAGTTGTTGGAGGGATTTAGTTAGTGGGAAAGGGCCAGATAACAAGGTATGATGATTCCATTTTCAGAACATCCTTCTGGCTGTGATGATGAATTCTAGGGTGGCAAGAACAGAAGTGTGCTGGGAGGCCAGGCAGTTTTGTTGCTGAGGGGAAAGATGGTGGTTTAGATGGTAGTGATGGTGGAGACAGACGAGAGGAGAGACTTTGAGTAGTCTGTAGGCAGCATCTACAGGGCCCAAGTCTATTAGCATCTTCTGATAGTACTGAGTCTAATGCCCTCATATTACAGATAAGAACATCGAACTTCAAAGAGTGATGTTAAGTCAAGATCCGTGGACAGAGAACCCCCAGTCTGACGTGGCTCTTGCTTCCTGTTGGTCTGCGTTACTTTCTGTATGTTTCTTGTGTGTGCCTTTATCTGTTTCATTTCCTGACATGGATAACTTGCCTTCCATTTTACAAAGGAGTTGGCAAGAAAGGGGGTGAAGGAGGGTAGGGTTCTCCAGCTCAGGGTCACTCTACTCCAGGCACATAGAGGGAATTCCTAAACACTTCTTAGATGAAATAAAGTTGACTGTGTGGAAGAGGTCCAACTGACATAAAGCAACATCCCATTGAGATTCAGACTCCGAGGGGAAGTTTAGAATCTTGCTTAAGAAAAGGGAAAATTACTGGAGGAGATCCACTTTAGTTCTTCATGGAGGGAAAGACAACAGCCCTTGCAGGGCCTGTCCTACATCGTCCCAAAGTAGAAAGCATTTGCATACTCCTTCTCTGAGCTCTAACCTCCGTGAAAGAGTGACTTAGCTAAATGTCCACATACTATTAGAGGGCCACAGAGACTAGAGGGAAGGACAATGTCATAAAGCTCCTAGGAACTTTCTCTTTCCATTTCCGTCTCCAGAAAAGTAAGATGGCTTTGGCTAAGCATTCCTTTTAGGAGATGGTTTTACTCAGAGGAAGATGCAGCACCACGTGGTAGCTTAGGTGAAAGCCAACCAAGGGACTGGCTTCACATGTCTAATTCTGGCTTAGGCTTCAGGCTAAAATAAAAGAAAGTAAGAGACTTTGAGTATTCATGTTATTTGACCCAATACACTAAAGCAAAGGAGCTGGAAAGATTAAGTCCATAACCAGATATATAGAATAGCCAGGGATAACATCATAACCTGAAATAAAGACTGTTCATTCACCAGGTGATGGTGGCGCACGCCTTTAATCCCTGCACTGGGGTGGGGGTGGAGGGCAGACCCAGGCGGATCTCTGTGAGTTCGAGGCCAGCCCAGTCTACAGAGCAAGACCCAGGACAGGCACCAAAACTACACAGAGAAACCTTGTCTCGAAGAACATAAATAAATAAATAAATAAATAAATAAATAAATAAATAAATAAATAAATAAATAAAAATATTAAAAAAAATAATGTTCATTGACCCCAACCACATTATCTCATTCAGGAGCCAGGCTTAACAGGACAACTGTTGGATGTGCAGATTTAGTCCAGGTAAGGGAACCCTTCCCATCTGCTGTGGTTGGCAGGATCCAACCTAGCCATCTGGAAAACTCTGATAAAACAAAGATGCCACTTGGTTTCATAGCGTATGCCAAACACCTGTGTCTGTTTTTAGCCATGAAGTTATTGAAAATTGGCTTTAGATAGTGCTAATGACAAATTAGTCTGAAATCAGTCCCTGTACCCCACAGCCACCATGTCTTGAGGGATGTGCAATGTTGGTGAGACTTTCCTTTGGTTTGTTCAGTTGACTGTAGTGGGTAGCTGTTCTGTCTATGACCTTGAAGCACCACCCCTAGAGATGTAGCAGGTAACTGTTGCACCTGCCTATGACCTTGAAGTCCATGCCCCTGGGGCGTGGCCTCTGGGGACCCTAAAAACCTGAGATGCACGTATGGATGCACTCTTTTCCCTCCCTCGTGGTTTTGGATATGGGACTGAACACCAGATATGGCGGCCAGAACACCGTTCCAGAACCTGAAACTATTCTGTTCTGTGCAGTGAGTTTTCCCCCTAATACATCCCCTTGCCCTTTACGCAGACTCTGTGGATTTCTCTCTATAGTTGACTGTGCTCTTGGCTCTACTCTGTGTCTCACTCCCTTTATCTGGCATCTGATACCTTGTTGCTGCAAATAGGTTTTCTGGAGTTTCCCAAGCAGGTTTGATGATACCCAGTGTTGCTAAATAATTTTTCCTTTTTTGTCCATTGAGTCCATAAATCCTTCTACTTCCTTGGAACATCATCCCTTGACTCTGAAGGAAAACAGCTGACTGAGCCAAGTCATGGGACAAGTTAGACGGCTTATGTATTAATTTGTCTATTGCCCCAAAGGACAGATCTTTGAATCCATAGGATGTTGTAGGGACAAGTGACAATCTCTGCATTTGAAGGTGTATATATTTTTATCCCATTGTCCTTATTGCAGTTTGTAACTATGTAATTGCCTGGTAACGGATTGATTTCTATTTTATTTTCAATTAGATGATGAAGACTAAGAAAACAAGATCTGAGTCTGTTAGCATCTCTGACTAAAACACAATGACTATTTCTAGGAACACTGGTGGCTCATACTCTTGTGTAGGGGAATAAATGAACGAGTGAAAAAAATTAATCAAAGCAAAACATTTTTCTTACAAACTTTGAAGTACAAAAGTGAAAAATAAAACAGCAGTATCAAAAACCACAGATGTGACTGTCTCAGGGAAATTAAAGATGATTGTAAGGAGTCACAGGATGATCGGTGCTTTGTTCAGAAATGCAATACTATATACAGATTTCTTTACATTCAAAAGGAAGAGGTTTCATTGGGGCTGGCAGGTAAGTCTCAAGAAAGCAAGCCCCGATTACTGAATACCTTATGTTGGCAGGGAACCACCCCTCAGATGAGAAAAATCAATTGTTACCATTCTTTCCCACTTCTGTGACTCCTGCTCTGGGAAGATGAACAGTTTGGGAGCAGAAACCCCCAGCCTGAGCCCCATGGCTCTTCTTATCATCCACCCCTCTCACGTCTACCCTCTCTTACACAGGCTTCTCTCTAAGGCCTGCTCCCTGCTTGAGATTCTTGCACACAATTGGGATGCTATCTATACAACTGGCTGGTTTGACATCAGACTCGGTCTGTGCTCAGGGCAGCCCTGCTCGGCGTGCATTTCTGTGAAAAACGAGTTCTTCTAGGTAGGAGTTCTGGGTACTCAAATCGTAGGCCCTCAGAACCTGCCACTGTGCTTGCTCTGTCCTTCATAGATCATTCAGATGCTGCTGAACTGAAGCTGTGCAGGAAGAGCAGCTTAAAAAGAGAAAGTAAAATATTTATAAATAGTTAAAATGTAAAACAGTGACCCAGGACTAGAAATGTGCACATTAAGTGTTAATAGTGTCAGCAAGGCAACAAATTCTAAATGGCCATGGCCTGTAACTCCCTAGAATGGAAGACTCCTTCAGGAGGGCAATTTCCCCTCAAAGCATAGCTCAGGTGCTTTTTTGATATGGTTCTGCTGTTGCTATGGAAATTGTCTCTGTAGGAATGTGCACAAATGTAGGATAGATTGTTAGCAGTATGAATAAGGAGGTGTGGGCAGGGGGCAGGCATGTTGACACTTGTCAGTCTCCAGCTTTGGTCCTGAAGAGACCGGCACAGAGTGGAGCAAGGGTGAGGGGTAGGTACCACCATGGATAGCTCAGGTCTGAGAGACCCCAGGACCTGGGCTCTCCAGATCTACACTCTGCTACCTAGAGTGATCTGTTATGGTTGTTATCTCAATGTCCTCATGAATAGCATGTTCTTTCACTGTCAATGTCGTTGATTTAATTGCTCAAAGAGTCCCACGGTCACTGTAGAATGTAATTTTCCCCCACAAAATGAAAAAGCAAAAAACCAAAAAACACATTGAAGCAACCCTATAGACCCTTCTTGATTTCCCACTCTCCAACACACACACACACACACACACATACACACACACACACACACAGAGAGAGAGAGAGAGAGAGAGAGAGAGAGAGAGAGAGAGAGAGAGAGCCATTGCTTCCTTCCCATAAACTCCTCCCTCTCATCCCAGTCCCAGCTTCACAGCTGCGTTTCTGCACAGCCAGGAGAAGGAAACACGTCATCTTTTACAGTGTCACAAAGAGAAACTGAAGTTGTGTTGAGTCACGGCACGGGAGGTGAGCTAGGTTCACTCTCTAGGGAAATGACTAGCTCTTACACGGTGGCCTTCCAGGTTGTACATTGCAAACTTGTGCTTCAGGCAGAAAAGTAAATGAGTGCCCCTAGTGAATTCAAGGGGAGTGTCTCACTCACGGGTTCTTGCTAGAAGGACTCTAGATGTGAGAATGTGCTGAAAGGACACCGAGTCATTGTCACGGGATGGAGGGACAGGCATAGAACTTGAACAGGTACGAAGAAGACTTGCTCAGACAGATCACAGCTTTGATTGAGCATGTCCTGGAAGCTGGCTGGGGCACTGATCCCACGACAGTTCCTCTGCCATGAACCCATCCCCCAATGCTTGTGGCTGCCATGATCGCTACCAATTGATGGAGAATCCATGCCTCCTCCTCCTCCTTCTTTCTTAGTTAGCTTTTGGCTCTTGGTACGAGGTGTGGATTGGACAGATGGCCTTTAGGTACTTAAGCCCTAGCAGCAAGCAAGGCTGGAAGAGTGAATAGCAGCCCCTCTGAGCTTCTAGGTAAGAACTGAGCTTTGCCTCTCACTAAGTTCGAAAGCGTAGCATTGTGGTTTGGATGTGAAAGGTCCCCCATAGGCCCTTGCGTTCGCACACTTGGTACTCAGATGGTGGTGGTATTTAAGAGGGTCGTGGAACCTTTGGGAGATAGAGCCTAGTTGGAGGAAGTGGGTCACTGAGGGGTGGGCCATACAGCGTCAGAGCACAGCCCTACTTCCTGTTTATGCTCTGATTCAGAGTGCAGGTGACTAGCTGGCTTCCTGTTGCTGCTGGCGCCGTGATGGAATGCTCCCCTTCCACGTGAGCCAGGAGAAATCCTTCCTCCTTCACATCGCTTCTTTTCAGGTGCTTAGTCACAGCAATGAGAAAAGTCACAAAAGCACATAGGAAGGACTTCCACATGTGCTCAGCCTAAAAACCATTTGCAATGTGGTACGTATTGTCAAGGGCCTCTCTCTGTGGTATTTAAAAACAAGATCTCTGACAGTCCATGGTAATAAAAATCAAATGCGGCTAAAGAAAATCTTAGAGCATGGCTGTCTGACTGTTTTAAAAGACAAGGTAACTTTTAGTTGTCCGTAAGTCTGGGTCTAATGTCCAAAGAGTTAAAGCAAATGGGGAGGAAAGGGCATGACTGGAATTCGGGAGAGGGCGGGGAGAGTTTGAGGTGTTGAGGGAAGAAGGGGAATTCACTAGATTTGCACCACCGTCTGCTAGAACTCACCAGCCACCACAGAAAGTGGGTGTAAGAGGATGGGAAAGTATTGAGCCGAGAGACCCAGAATTCTGACAACAAACAGGAGATAAATGTGTGCCAACCCACCCCAATCTAGAAGGATGCCATGGTGAATTTAGGGACACAGGAAAGTGGTAGCTTCAAGAAACACTCAATCCTGAAGGGCTGAGTCAGATTGACTCCCAGAAATCCTTGAGGAACAAGGAGACACATGGAGGCAAAATATACAGTCAGGGTCATTCACTTATTGTCATTGGTCGGGCAGCTGTCAGAGTGAGAAAATCTGCCAGTGTGTCACACTGGCTGCCAGTGATGGAAACCAATGTTAATTAGCTGAAGCAAGAGGAGAATATGCATAAGGAATAAGGGGTACTCAACTGCCATCGAAGAGGAGAAGAGTAACTGGTCCACAAAGCTTGAATGTCCCCACTGTCCTTAATCTTTGACTGTTGTCCCTGCTTTTCTCTGAAGAGATGAGGCATCACTGCCTTGACTGAGGTCCAGCATCCTTAGCACTGGAGAGCAGGATTTTTCATCAAGCCAGGTCTCACAGTCTCATGCTCTGCATGTATTCCCCAGGAGACCTGAGCCTCTTTCAACTCCAGTTTCTTAGAGACAATCTGGTGAACCTGGCCCACGCAGGTGGGGTGTTTAAGTTTAATTGTCTAATCATTTTAAGGGAAGGCTTCTTCATTGTTATTTATAGTCAAACTGCTAACATTTCCACTTACCCCTTAGGTTATTGCTTAAAAAGCAGGGTCCTGATGGATCCAGCTTTTCTTAGTTAGGGTTTCTATTGCTGTGAGGAGACACCATGACCATGGCAACTCTTATAAAGGAAAGCATTTAATTGGGGCTGGCTTACAGTTCAGAGATTTCATCTAGTATCATGATGGCGGGGAGCATGGCAGCATGGAGGCAGATATGGTGCTAGAGAAGTAGCTGAGAGTCTGACATCTGGATTGGCAGGCAGCAGGAAGTAAGCCAGTGGGTGTGGCTTGAGCTTCTGTAACCTCAAAGCCCACCTCCAGTGACAAACTTCTGCCAACAAAGTCATATGTCCTAATCCTTTCAAACAATGCCACTCCCCATGAGCCTATGGGAGCTGTTTTCATTCAAACCACCACACAGCCCACTAAGGCCCTAGTGAGTAGCATCCCAACAGTCAGCATGGATGCTGGGCTTGCCTTGCAACAGTAAATGAGCTAAGCTTGAGAACCTGGGGCAGGGACAACAGGCACCAAGTCATCCTGAGAGTGAAAGGTCATGGTGTTGGTACTGAAGGGTGGTCAACTCCTCTTTCCATGATCCACTCTCCATGCAGTATCTGATTGGCTTGACAAGGGACTAGCCTGGAACTGGCCAACCGTAAAGCAATCTTCTCCTCCTTCCTGCCAGTGTGCATGCGCTCCTGGACGATGCATCACAGGCCAGCTGCAAGTTCACATTAGGAAAGTGAAAAAGGCAGTCTGTAGTTGTGGTCCACGCGGCTGCGGTGGGAAATTCGGAAGGAACCGACTCCATGATGGAATAATTCAGCTCTTTACCAACAGGACCGACTGTACCTTGAAGCGTTGAGAAAGTGAGAGTGTGTATACCTGGGCTTACGCCTTCTAATGGCAGCTCTGTCTCCCAGCCTGGCCCGGCTTTACTGAACCCAATCCCTAAAGAGAATACTAATGGTGTTAAGTTTGTTACTTAAAGTGCAAAAGAGAATTGGGTGATTGGAAAAGGACAGAGAGAGGGTTCTGGAAAACTGTAATAGAGTTTAACCCTTTCTGTTCCTGGGAGTTGAGCTTGGCTTCTACCTCATAAATTACAGGTACCGAACATTTTATATGAAGTCATGTTCTGAGGACCCAACTGAATCCATGTTCCTCCTTGTTCCTTCCAACTCTCCCACATCTCTAACAAGCTGTGGACTGGCAGCCTTCTTCTAAGGGAAAATAAAGTTACACTAGCAGACCTGACTGCTGATTGCTTCCTCCTTGAGAATGCAACCGCTTCATCCTTTTCTATTTCTGCTTTGACTCAAGTTCCTTACTTTTGGACACGATCTTATTGGGAGAAAAAAAAAATGTATCCATCCTTTTAGGGATATATGTCAACATGTCATCTGCTTTGTCACATTCTTCGCTAATGCCAGTGCCATCGGAATTTAAAAAGCTGAAGCAAGGACTCACATTTTGGAATGAAGGCCATGTGAGCAGTCAGGGCAGACAGCCAGAACCTGGGGCGGCAGAGAGAGAAAGAGAGTGGAGCTGTGGTGGAGAGCATTTAAATCCCCTTACAGTTCGGGGCTCCTCCCCCACCTTTCCCAGCCCCTTGTCCCACCGGAACAAAGGTGGTGTCATATTTCCTGGGCACACTGCCTGCTGCCACTCTTTCCCCCCAGTCTTTAGATTTTTTTTTCTTGAGAACGGTTTTGTGTTCACAGCAAAGATATGAGGAAGGCACGAAGATTTCTTTCCGGAATAGCTCCCCGTCGTCCTGCGTATGCGCTGCCTCCCCGACGACGACATCGTCGTCGTCAGTCTCCTCTTCTGTGTTGGTTCATGGAGATCACCTGCGCTTTATGCAGTTTTATATGTTTTGAAGAAATATACAGGAACATATATCTACCTATATCATTCTATAGAATACTTCCACTCTCTGCCCCCCTGCCCCCCACACCCATGCTGTGGTTAGTCACCGCCCCCCCCCTTCCCTCTTGATCCCTAGCAGGGACTGTCTTCTGCTTGATCCCTAGCAGGGACTGTCTTCTGTTTCCAAACATCGATCTTTCTAGGAGTAATTCGGTGTGAAGCCTCTTCCCTTCGTTGATGTTTTATTTCCTCTACATGTTCTCATAGCTCAGTGGGTCACTTCTAGCCACCATACTTCCAGCATAAGCATCATGCTTATACTTCCTGCTTCCCTGCCTCCCCTCCCCCACATCCATAATGCATGCATTCTAGAATCATTTCCTTGCCATCTATGTCCCATCTGGGTGACAGAAATCAGATCACACAGCAACATCTTGACATCTTGTTTCCCCATTGGCTTTCTGGTCCCCAGGATCCTGCTTGGACTTCAAGACTTCCTGTTTGAAAACAAAATGCATCGCAGTGACCACCTTGTGATATATGTTTTAAAATGTCTTTCTAAGTAGACATTATCAATAAATTTAGTGTGTAGGGTCAAAAATATAAGCATACTGAGTGCATTTGTTTTTTACTTGGGCTCTCTCATTTTAACAGAGGTTGTTAACGCTGAGACTCTATTCATATCAGAGATGTTTACATCAGAAAAAGTACAGAAGCTGTTCTCAGAAGCCCACATTGCAGAACAGTCCGCAGCAGCCTGTGAAGAAGCGATTTCATTTCCATGGCAGCCAGAGTCCAGACGCTCCGGCTTTATAGATTAAAATCAATGCCTGAATTGCATTCACAAAGCCTGAATTGCCTGTCAGGCTTCAGGACCAGCCGCACAACGTGATAAATGAGGTGAAGAGCCCTGTCCGGGCCAGGGTGTGTGTGCTGCATTAGTGAGGACTTTGGTTTCTTTCTCAAAGAAAATACCAAACGGAATGAATTACTGGGAAACAGCAAATGAACGTCAAGAACTTGAGATGCGGGGGTTATAATTTACTAATTACTGGGAAATGATGAACACAGAGTCAGACTGAGAGAGAACATGGCTGGGGAGAAAGGATGGATTGCGGATGCAAAGAAAGGAAGTCTTGTGGGAGGCTCCTGATAGCCATTGTGAGCAAATCAGGTGGGTTTCAGAGACTCTTTACCTGGTGTAGCTCCCACCTTGGTCGCTATTAGCATTAAATAAGTATGTAAACACCTAGGCTAGACTATAGATAGGCCCATGAGAGGCAGTCAATAATTGTGTCTAGCTCTTCCCAGCTCCCATTCAGTTCCTTTTCTTACTTAGTGCTGAGATACTCAGTGATGCCTCCTGCAGCAGGTTAACATGTAAAGACCGTGAAGTGAGGAGAAAGCCTTGAGCATTCACAGAGGCTCTTTCCAAAGTCTGGTTCTGCTGCAAAATTGCTGAGCAATATCTGATGCTGCCTCTGCCTGTTCGGGCAGAGGTGTCAGATGGGCAAAAATGACCCCCTCGTCTCATTCTCCAGTAGCTTTGCCTCTTCTGGAGGGGTGCTAATGCATTTCCCAATGTCTAGTGGAAGCTTGACAAATCAGACTTAAGGGACAAGATGAGGACTTCCTGTGGTCTCCATTCTGCCACCGGGCATAAGAAGGTTGGCATCTGAGGAAGAACTGTGTAGTCGTCGGGTAAGACCTTGAAAGGGAACCTAGATATTTGGATGTGTATCTTGGCTTGCCCAACAACCAGCAGCTATACAAGAAAGGGATCCGACCCACCATCGTTTTCTGAATGTCTTTAAGAGGTTGTGTTGGAAAGAACTCGCTTGACACTCCATATACCCACGCTCTCAGCCCTTACTTGAACATACTTGCTGCTTAACTGAATATGGGTGCTCAGAAGGAGGACCATATCACCCAGTCTTTTGTGTGTGTGTGTGTGTGGTGTGTGTGTGTGTGTGTGTGTGTGTGTGTGTGTGTGTGTGTGTGTGTGTGATGAGGTGTTTGCTTTTCTTGCTGTGTGATGATGAGGTTTCTGGCAAGGGTGTGGAAATACGAAACATTGTACCCAACCTGTTGCACATTTCTTTGGCAAGGACAGAGTGTATGTCCTCTGCTCTTTCTCCTGATCATGTGATGTGTCCAGGATGGTTGGAGCTAGTCACAGCACCTTGGAGACTGATGTGGACATCTTCAGAGTCTGGGTCCCCACACCCTCTAATAAACACACAAATCCTAGTCTGTTTAGATTTCCTTAGAAGACAAGAGGAAATGTTACTGTTACTCTTGATTTTTTTGGTAACTAAAAACTGGAGCTAAATCTAAACTAAGGGAGGGCGAGTTCAGGGAGGTCTGTACTTTACAGAACCTCCTTAAAGATTTGCACCAGAGGGACTGGAGCGAGTGCCTGGAGCAGCCTTCGCTGCCCTTTGGAGGACTGGAGTATGGTTCCCACCACCCGTGCGAGGTGGCTCACAACCACCTGTCACTCCACCTCTGGGGGATCCAATACCCTCTTCTGGCCTCTGTGGGAATCCGCACATATGTGTGCATACACCTACAGACACACAATATTTGCACAAATAAAAATGAGTAAATCTTAGGGGGAAAAAAGATTCACAGCACAGCCTAGCCCATTGTGGCTTTAATAGGTTCTTTGTGAAGAAATAGAATGTCTCTTGTAAACCTCTTCCCAAGGCTGGTGTTCCATAGGTCCTTGTAGCTCCGAGCATGCTCTATAGGCCCTCAGGGAGCTTGTTACAAATATGGACTCCCGGGCAACACATGCCTGCTGAGTCAGCATCTGTATTTTAAACAAGGTCCCCACGTGACGTGTTTGCTCTTGAGTTTAGGGAGCACTCCTGAGATGACAGCAGCGTCTTATGGTCCCCAGACCCTGGAACAGAGGGACTCCCTCCACACAGCCCCAGCTCTTCAGGTCTTAGGCTGCTTCTGTGGACCTCTGAGTCCTTCTGTAGTTTCAGTTCTTAATGTTGAATCATTTCCAGGGCCAGCAATTTTGGGGGCATCACTAGCTGAACCAAGAGCCTGTGGCAAGCTTCCTTCTCTTCTTCTAGGAGATTTTAGGGTGTCCCCATGCCGCTGCAGATCCTGAGTCTTACTAATGCTTCTCTTGGTGGGTTATACCTGGATCTAGCAAGGAGGTAAGACGGGCCTCCCAGGAGACCTACCTGCTGGGGCTGCAAAACATGTCAGTCATTTTCAATTACACACTAGCTTACACATGGGCTCTGGAGCTAGCCAATCAAAACAACACTTGGATTAGGTCATACTGTCTGTGAAATGGTACCTAACTGGAATAATTCCATTTCTGGTTTATCCAGAGATGGACAGTTAGAGGCTGTGCTGGGTGATGTTAAGTATCTTGGTTTCTAGAAATAGATTTTCTGATTGGAATTCAAGTTCATCACATGCTTGCTGCAAGGTTTCAATCAAGCCTTAATTTTCTCATCTTTAATAGGAAGACTAAAATGGTATCTCCTTCCCAGATTTGTTATGAGGGTTATGCAAGGAACATATGGAGGCAAGTAGCCTTATATTTGGTACATAGGAAATACTATGTAACTATAAGGGAAAATCACATATATGTGTATATAAATGTACGTATATATGCACAAACCCATAAGCAAGAAATTATTAGCATTATCTGTTTATTATAATTCAGAGAATTAAAATCCAAATAAAGTGGGAAAAAAATCTAGAAATGAGAAAAGAAATCTAAAATCATATGAATTGAGAAGGTTTCCAAGCCTGCTTCTCCCATGGAGAATTAATGAACAGTGGTTAGTTTCATTAAATCAGGGCAGGCAGTTTGAGCACACATGGAGAGAATCAGCCTCCACTGAGGACCAAGAAAGGAGGTAGCTGGGGCACATAACGATGTAGCAAAAGAGACTCCTGTTCCATGATAGAGAGGAGAAGGAAGACAATGACTCAAATACTTCATTAAAAGACAAAGGGAGAAATTGCCACATTGTCTTCTATAAAAGCAGAGAAACACACAAAAATCATCATGAATAGCTGTTCTAGAAATCACGTATGTACTTGAATGTGAATAGTTTCTTTTTATATTCACAACAAGCCTTTGCTAACTATCTGAATAACTTTTACTCTAGAAATCACTAAATGGAGCTTCCAGGACATCAAAATAATGAAGATAACTGGATTCGCATACCTGATACAAGAAAGAGCCAGGATCTGAACTCAGGTCTGGATGTTGCCAGAGTCCTTGCTTTTTCTGTCTCAGCAAAGTTAACTGCAGTGAACCATAAACACTTTCAGAGAAGATGACATTTCTACTTAGTCTTGAAACAAGGGTTTGGAGGAAGATTGGAGCTCAACAGTGGACAAGTATTGGCCTAATGCAGAGGCAGATGAGCTGGCTAGAAAAATCAGAGGACAATATAGGTGAGAGAGACATGGATAGCACTATTTTTGTGACCTTCAATAATATAACTCATTGTATATGTGTGTGCATGCATGCGTGAATGTATAGGTGAGAGGTCGGCATTGAACGTCTTCCTCGATTGCTCTCTCCTACCTTTGTTGAGACAAGGTCTCTCGCTCAGCTAAGACTTGGTATTTCTGTTAGACTGCCTGGCCAGCAAGCCCCGGAACTCCTCCTGTCTTCTTCTCCCATGCTGGGAATGCAAGCACATGCTGCCACGCCTGACTTTTATGTGAGGGGTGGAGATATGATTTCATGTCCTCATGCGTGTGTGGCCAAGCCCTTTATTCACTGAGCCAGCTCCCCAGATTTTAATCTTTAATAGTGTCCATGAGTGTGATGGCTCACAGGTTGGTTCACTGCAGTCTTTCCTACTGTTTAACAAGTCAGATGAGAAGTCCAAAACCTAAAGCAAAACAAAACAAAGCAAACACTCCTCGGTACCACACAGCCAGATGAGCCTGGCCTTCAGGAAGACGAGTTTTCAAATTCTGCAAGCAGTCCTGTCCTCATGAAACACGAGCTCAAAGCTGGAGGCGAAGAGACCAATTCCGGCTCTTTGTGAGGTGGAAGAAAATAAGGGTTGATATAAGAAACTGGTGGCGGGGCCAATTAAAATGGGGGGAAAATGACATTTCACCCGGAGATTATTGAGCAGTGGATTTTCAATCTGGTTGTCTCCCTTAGTTGTCGCTGGCGACGGGGAGATGGACACATTACCTAGGCCTTATTCACAGGTCTGCTTCTGAAACATCTCCAATGTAAATGGATGGAGCCACTTTCTCTATTTCTGGTGATTTCCCTGTGCAGAGCCTTGCTGTCTGCCAGGGAGGGCTGCTGGGAAGGGGAAGCTGGAGGAGTGAGGATGCTTAAATAAAAACAGTTCTATTTTTGGCACGCTTAAATGACAATCCTGTCTAAGAAATATTTTTCCTACAATGCCTTTTCCATTCAGTGTCATTGGAAGTGTTTTTAATTTCAAAGAGAGGCTGTGGCATGGGATGTTAATCAATGAACTGCTGGCATGCTTTTCTATGAATGTGGTTCTTTTATATATATATATATTTACCAGTGACAAAGATGATTTCTTCAGCTCAGGCAATGTTACCATTCATGCCTGGCTAATAAAGGAAGAAAGAAATGCCTGAGGAACTCACCCCGATGGTGGAGGGGAGGAGGAGGGCCTATTTTCGGTCCTTGGGATATTTTATTGTCTTCAGGCCTTCCCTGTGAGTCACAGGACAGAAATTCGAGGCAGAAATGCACCAGTGTCTGGGCTGAAAACCGTTTGGGCCGCAATGCCGGAGATGTGTATATGCTTTCTTTGCTTGTAGGTTCTGGCTGCCCTGCTCTGTGTGCAGGAATTCAACGGGTGACGCCTGCCTGTTCCTTTAAATTCCTGTAGTTGGACGTTGTCAAAATTTAGGGTGGGGTCAGCTTAGGGTCATTTTAGATCCAATAAAGGTCCATTTCATTAAAAGCCCTCTGGTTCCTCGCCTGTTTACTGCTGCCCCGAGACAACACTTCCTTTATCTCTTTCTGGCTCACTCCCAAAGAAAACAGGGAGACTGACTGCCACTTTGGAATCTAGTTTCCATCTCCAGGCTGGGCTTGTGGGGTTCAGTGGCTCAAAATGAGCATGCACCAGAGCACAGCGTGTAGGATTAAATTTCACCTTGCTCCATACTCCCAGTGTTTAAAAAGAAATTGTTTCCAACTCACGCTGTTGAGCAGTTTCTGCTACATCTTTTTAATGGGAGCTACACGATGTCAATCAAACATTCTCCCTCCCTTCCGGTGACCACACAACTTACGTTAGAGTTGACGGAGCCAAATTAAACCTTCCCTCCTTATAAGCTGATCGTCTCTGGCATTTTGTCACAGTGATGATGAGCTAACACCTTCCTGAAAGCTGTATCTTGCCTTCATTTAGAGGTGGTCAATCCAACCTGAAGTGCAGAGAAAGGGGGAGGAGTGAGAGCTGGGAACGTGGAAAAGTATTTCCCTGGGGAATGCAGCTGGGAACTTAGCAACGGAAGCTGATTTTTAGATGAATTCTTACCATGTTCTCACTTGTGGATCTGGTCGTGACAGTCGGTAAACTAACATGCTAAGTCAACCACAAGGTGGACCACCTTCCTATCTATCCATGCGGCCTGTTCGTTGGGTCAACCATACAGTGGACCTCCTTCCTATCCATGCAGCCTATTGGTTAGGTCGACCATACAGTGGACCACATTCCAATCCATGCAGCCCATTTGCTAAGAGAAGAGAATATATGTAGATGAATTTTTTTAGCAGTCTTATTAAATAAAGAACATGGAGCCAAATATAGGGGTGAAAGTCTTAGAGATCAGGAAAATAGTGAGATCCACCAATCATCTTACCTCACCAGCTCTGCAGCTCCCAAAATGCGAGCTACTTTCTGTCTAACCTGCGCCTTTATTGCCTTGCTTTTCTGCCCTCTCATTGGCTCTTAGCCCATCTATCTCAACTCCCTGTCAGTGCCTGTCTGTACAGACCTCCAGGTCTCTATGGTTGGTACTGGGATTAAAAGTGTGTGTCACCACACTTGGCTCTGTTCCCAAGTATGACCATGAATACACAGAGACCCTGCCTGCCAAGTGGTTGGATTAAGGGTGTGTGCTATCACTGCCTGACTTTTGTGTTAATGGCTTGCTATTTCCTCTGATCTCCAGGCAAACTTTATTTATTAATATACAAATAATATATCACCACATTTCAGCACAAATAAAACATCACATTTCCCCTTTTTGTCTAATAAAAATTAAAGAAAAACAGAGAAGCTATACCAATATAAGAAAAACTATATACAATAAGTACAATAACTATATATAATAGACACAAGCAATAAATATATCAACAATGTCTAGTCCATTTGCATTTGACACATTTGGAGAAAATATTCCATTATCTATGCTATTTTGGTGAATCCAAAATGTACCTGATTCATTTTCTATCCTAACTTATATTACTAACAGAGAACTATCTTATAATGTCTTTCAAATGTATACACTTTACACCTTTTAGTGAGTTTCTTTTCTGAAATTTCTTAACAAGGAAAATTGTTACTACAGCCATCTAATCTTCAACTCCCTCAGAGACCCGAGAAGGAAAAAATATTACCTAGTAAAACAGGAAGTGCAAACAAGCGACTTCCAAAAAAATGTGAGTTGACAGAAACAGCCAGCTGCCTGGACAGTCACCTGAGGTTTCTCTGCACATTGGAGCATCTTCTTCAGCCTATAGGCTTAGTGTATATGACAGACTCATTTGTGAAGCAGGATGTACACAAGGCCTACAGCTCGACCTCACAATTGGTTCGAGTATTCCATGTACCAGACAAACCTGAATTCCACCAGTGTCCTGTCATGATTCAGGATTTTAAATTCTGGAAATGGCCCGTGTTTTTGGAATTTGGCGGCCTATTCTTCTCAGCTTGTGGATGGCTCCATCTCGGTGTCCCATTCTTCTCCACATCCCGTTCTTCTCCAGGTATGTGCTGGCTGGAACTCAGAGGATCCAAAAGTGGGAGTAGAGAGAGCAAGGAGAACATGTGTAGGGGTGGGGGTTGGAGTAGATGGGAGCTGGTGTGGCTGAAGATGTGTGGGAGGATCGTGTGTGGTTGTCTGAAGTGATGAAGAAGAGAGAGAGAGAGAGAGAGAGAGAGAGAGAGAGAGAGAGAGAGAGAGAGAGAGAGAACAGCCTGGAAAAGGGAAGCCGCCAAGGAAAGAACAGAGGAGGGATGAGTCCCAGAGGGTCCCACACACATCTTTCAGACTATACCTCTCTGACAGGTGAGACCCAGAGTCATGAAAGAAGTAAAGAATTTCCAGTGAACACTGTGTCCCTTGCTAGTTTATATCTGGAACATTCTTTAATGATACAGACATTGATATCTTTGTTTTCAACCCATGGTTCTATTTGGGAGACTGTGGAACCTTTAAGAGGTGGACCTGGTGGATATTAGGTACCCTTAGAGGGGATATGGGGTACCAGCCCCATCATTCTTTCTCTTTGCTTCCCAGTCACAAGGAGGTAGCAGCTTTGGCCCCATGCTCCCACCAATGGCATACTGCCTCACCAGAGGACCCGAAGTAACAGGGTCCTTTGACCAGAGATCAAAATCTCTGAAACCATGAGCCGAGCTAAGCTTCCCTCCTTATAATAGGATGGTCTCAGATATTTTGCAAGTGTTAGCAAGATCACACCTCTCCAGGGGCGTTTCATGAGATGGGCTTATGAAGTGTGCACAGCTCTTGGCTCAGCTTCCAAGTAAAGCACGGCACCTGGTCCTTTCTTCGGCAGCCCCAGTACCCCACTGGAACTGCCTTCACTTAGTGATTCAGGACATTTTCGGGACTTGGCTTTAGTAGAACTTCTTATTGTTCTGGGTCCAGCCTTTCAGTGTGGAACTGGATCTCTCCATCGCACACAGATGCTGCCAATGTGACTATAATGGTATGACTTATGCTTCGTTCTCACATCCAGCCTCACACTTGGTTTCTGTAGCTCCCAGCTCTCTGCTTCCTTTCAGTTTCTCCTCCAAAACCTTGTAAGCCCACATCAGTAACTGACAGTTCCTTTCAGTCGGAACAGTTTGGCCTCTCAGCTGTCTGATCCTCTAGAGAACCTCTCACTGTACCCTGCATCTCGCCACCCCTGGATCATTTAAACAACCGTTTTCATACTCGCATGAACAGACAAGTCGCACGCGGTACATGATCTGGTTTTGTCAGTGGAGGACAGGATCTGGGATCCTGATTTTCTAAATCCCTGTGGTGATGCCAAAGCTGCTGGCCCATACACCACCACACACCAAGTGGTGATGTTTAAGGATGGGGAGATTATGAAGCTCTTCTGTATCCAGCCCCACCCACTCCAGCTTTTAATAGTCTCCTCCTCCTCCTCCTCCTCCTCCTCCTCCTCCTCTTCATCCTCCTCCTCTCAGCAAAGGGATGGAGTTTGTCTGTACCTGCTCTTGTTTCCCAGCTTCTGGTTGGATTGATGTCCTGAAATCAGCTTTAAATTGGTGGAGGGTTGAGATTGTCATCTTCATATACAGAGTTTCAAAATTTTTCTCCTTCTTGCTTTCTTGGTGCATCACTGAAATCATCTTGGGCATATGGCCTATTGTGCTGTGTGGAGGGAACATTGGTGAACTGTGAAAAGCAGACACTGAGCAGGCTTCTTCCTGCACTAGAGAAACTAGGCAGAGGCTTTCTGAAGTTTGTCCTGAGAGGCCTCCTTCCTCTCGCCTCACATCTCTGAGCAATGGAGGCCCTCTGGCCAGCTAGCTCACCGTGACATTAGCTCGTGATTCAAAAGGAACCAAGAGCCTGGCTGAAAAGAATCAAGTTTTCCATTTGTACAGAGGATCTGAAAACATTTATTGCTTGTAACATTTACATTTTAAATTTCTTTTATTTTTACACTAAGAGGGTGAATTAGCTCTAAAAATAAGGCTTCCAGATTACAACCAATGTTTTACAGTAGTAATAGTTGAGAACACAGAAAATGGTTATTATTAAACATACACCTATGTCCTCCCCATGGAAAGCCCTCTGCTTATGCCGTGTGCCCCTCCCCACAAGCCCCTCTGAGACAGCGGCTCAGTCCTCACCTTCTCACATCTAAATTCTTCAGATGGTCTGTACTGATTCCAAGACAACCTCGCCCCACTCCCTGCTAAAGGGTCTGAAGTGGAATTTGACACTCACAGTTTTACTGAAATTGCACTTCTCAGGACCCAAGCAGTCGCCAAGTCACTGGATCTAATGGCTTCTCAGCTCCATTTTGCTTTCGTGTCTAAGGCATGGATGCTGTTAGCCCCACAGTGCACTTCCGGATGGGTGAGGTCAGCGGATTCACCACGCGGCTGGTCACAGCAAGTCTTTCCGAAGTCTTTCCTGTGTGTGGTGTCGCCCCTCCACCCCCATACCAACTGCACGTGTCGCAGGCAAAGATGGATCAAGGCTGCTCCTTGTCCTTGTTTTCCCTTTGCCTTGGATCTCATCTGTTTGCAGGGCTTTAACTGTCCGCCCAGGCCAGTGTTCAAATCCACAGCCTGCAGCGCTGACCTTTCTCTGCAGTTCTGGCCCCGCGTTCAATTGCCTCTTTCCCTTGTCACCTCCTAGCTTTCTGCTTCCTCAGTCCTTTATTTCTGGTTGTAGCAAATATCAATGTTTAATCATGATGGTTAAGAAAGGATACATTTAGTGGGTTTTTTTTTCTTTCTTTCTTTAAGACGGTATCAATCTTATATTCTTTTTCCTGAGGTGGCAGGAAGTTCAGTCTCCTTCCTCATAGGTTCAAAGGCCATGCAGCTGCCACTCAGGTTCTTAACCATTGCTAAAGCATTACCACCAAAATGTCCCCTGGCCCCACTCACAGAGTATTTTAAGATCAAACCACTTTGTTACTTTATATTACACCAGAACTAGGATTTTTTTTAAATATATATATATACATATTTAATTTTATTGTTTATGTGTGTGTGTTTAAGTGGGTGCTGGGAACCACAGGCAGTCTTCTGAAAGAGCAGGAAGTGAGTATTTAGGCATCTGTACTGGCCTGCCCTTAGGGTCCTGACAGGATACATCCTCAGCTGCAGGCATTAGGAGCTCCTTTGGTGTACATTCGCTATGTTCCCTTATAAAAGGCAGGCCTTGCTCACCTCCCATTTCTTTCTCTTCCTTCGCTCTCGTCCCCAGAGACCAGTCTCTGCCCCTTCTCTGCCCTCCCCTCAGTAAACCTCCCACGTGGGCCCTGTGGAGTGGTTTGACTCCTTTTAAAACACGACATTCATCTGTTGAACCATCTCTCTCCAGCATCGCCCTCTGACTTATTTTAATTGAAAAAGTAATTTTTAGCTTAATTCCCTAATCTTCCTTTTCCTTCCCATCCTGAAGAAGTCTACCCTACAGGC